CTGCTACTGCTACTACTACTGCTAATGCTGCTACTGCCACTGCTACTACTACTACTACTGCTGCTGCTGCTGCTGCTGCTGCTGCTGCTGCTTCAGCTTCAGTCAAACTTAACTGGTAGAGGAAGCAAGAGAGTAAAGATGGTTTTAAGAATGGACAGAAGTAGGTAGCTATTACTATTACTTCAATCAAACCCATTACTATTACCTACTACTAATTGTACTGCTACTACTCCTACTGCTACTATTGAATCAAAGCAGGTGTTTTGAGGATATGTATATTTAGAACATAAACTGTAATAGGAATCACACAGCACACATACACAGTTTATAGCCTTTGTGCACTTTTCAAACAAAACATATATGCAGGTATTTCTCGCACTTTTCTGATGGATTACAAAACTGTCATCCCATTATTGTTTCCAGGCTTATCCCCAAATTATCTTAATTTTTTGTCATTATCACCCACTCCTGTACTAAACCAGCAGCAAACCCATGATTAGACTCTTCTCTTCCTCCTCTGATCCTTCTGACCCAGTGCCAGGGGCCGCTCTGTAGGCTGCAGATTACAGAGCAGGAGCAGGGCCACAGTCTCTCCACTCACAGAGAGATAAGGAGGAGAGAGAGCAGAGGGCCCCAGGCTGCAGCACTGAAGCTCCAGGACAGAGGACAGAGCATGGACTCCACAACAAGAAAACAACATGGTGTTTTCCATTGACTGTACAGCATTGAAAACAACCTTAGGCCAGAATAGCAACAATGAATACATAGTGTTTATGAAATACTAACTTTGTAATACATTCATTGTTATCTGGGGCATGTTTTTGAGAGGGCTGTTGAAAAAGTCAATGCTCAGAAAATAATCAATATTAAAACCAGCATCAAAACTTGATACTAATTTGAACAAATGGTCACATTTTAAGAAAGCGCTTTTCAATCACACAGCAGTGTATGCGGACATTGGGGGAGAGACGTCTTGAGCTGAAATTGCACTGCCAACTTGTGGGTCAGTGGATCTGAATGCTCAACAAATGATGTTTCCGTCGAGAGCGGGATTCGAACCACCAACCTTCAGATCAGTGGACAAACTCTCTACTGTCGCCCCTGTATCCTTTCCTTTAAATATAGCATAAACATGACTCATTTGCAAATAGTTTAGATTCTAGTCCTCACATGACAACATCCACAGTTTCAGCTCATGACTCTACCTCCATCCCTCCACCACTCATCCCTCCATCACTACACTCATCCCTCCATCACTACACTCATCCCTCCATCTTCTCTGAGAGTGGTTGAAAGCAGAAAACACCACTGTTGCTTCTGCTGTGCTTATACCTGCAACCAAAACCTCCATCGCTCATCCCTCCATCAGGACATCACTCTATCATGACATCCCTCTATCACTATATCCCTATACCACTCATCCCTCCATCACCAGTCATCCCTCCATCTCTCATCCCTCCATCTTCTCAGAGAGTGGTTGGAAGTAGAAAACGCCACTGCTGCTGCTGCTGCTGCTGCTGTGCTTATCCCTGCAGCCAAAACCTCCATTGTTCATCCCTCCATCACAACATCTCTCCATCAGTAGATCCCTACACCACTCATCCTTCCATCACGCATCCTTCCATCTTCTTGGAGAGTAGCTGAAAGTAGAAAATGCCACTGCTGCTGCTGTTTATACCTACAGCCAAAAAGTCCATCATTCATCCCTTCATCAGTACATCCCTCCATCATGACATCCCTCCATCACTAAATCCTATACCACTCATCCCTCCATCACCAGACATCCCTCCATCACTCATCCCTCCATCTTCTCGGAGAGTGGCTGAAAGTAGAAAACGCCACTGCTGCTGCTGTGCTTATACCTGCAGCCAAAACCTCCATCTCTCATCCCTCCATCAAGTCATCCTTCCATCACAACATCCCTCCATCAGTGCATCCCTACACCACTCATCCCTCCATCTTCTCGGAGAGTGGTTGAAAGTAGAAAACGCAACTGCTGCTGCTGCTGTGATTATCCCTGCAGTCAAAACCTCCATCTCTCATCCCTCCATCAAGTCATCCCTCCATCAGTACATCCCTACACCACTCATTCCTTCATCTCTATCCCTCTATCACTATATCCCTCCATCACCACTCATCTTTCCATAACTCGTCCATCCCTTGACCACTCATCCCTCCATCACTACACTCATCCCTCCATCTTCTCTGAGAGTGGTTAAAAGCAGAAAACGCCACTGCTGCTGCTGCTGCTGTGCTTATACCTGCAGCCAAAAGCATTCAGGGAAAAGGAGAAGATTGTGCAGTGAGCCCAGTGAGAGCCGACTCTATTGTCCAAACAAATACAGCCAGTGCTTTTGATGGGCTGATTCTGGCCAACAGGCTTTTGTGTGACCACGGATACATACAACCTCTACAACCTCTGCTTTTGTATACTAGTGTATTGTAGGGATATATTTACAAAATCAAATACTCAACAGCACTAAATCTGCCAAGTTACATAGAAAAAAATATGCGTGTTTGTTATGAATTGGTATTTTTTCCATCAGGTTCACAGCATGTGACAGTGACAGCTTCAACTTGAGTGGGAATTGTAATACGTTTTCTGTTAAAGGGGCCATATTACACCGTTTTCTGATCTATGTAGCCACAGTTATGTATTATTTTATTCACAGAGGTTTAACACACAAATCCTGCATATTTAGGCTGAGTTCTACCTTGTGATGTCATGTGGTAATACAGGAAGTGCTCCACTGTGTTTTTAAACTCCATACACCTTCACTAGAATCATTTAGATGATTTCAGTCCTGGAATTGACGATTTCTACAGAACGAAAAGTAAAAGTAGCTGCTAACTTTAAAACTACCGCAACATGACACACAAGGTGGAATAGCGCATTTTAATCCAAATGCAATACATTCTTAAATATGTTCAGATATTTTCATTCAGATACTACTCCATTTCATCTTTTAAAATCTGAAATCATTCCAAGTACACCCTGGAAAGCACAACTGGTTTGGAAATACTGCTACAAGTAATACAGGAAACTAGTGTGACTACTTCTAGCCTACTACTAGTTAGTGCTGTCACGATAGTAAAATTTCAAACTCCATTTCGATTCTAAGGAGTAGACTAGATTGTGAAATGAAAATTATAATTAAAAAACACTTTCATTCTTTCTTTAGAAAATTTAGACTGTGATTTTTCAACATTAAAGGTTCCATGGGTGTATACTAGTCTCTGTGCTCTTATACTTGTTCTGATACAGCTCAAAATCATTCTAAACCTATTCAGAAAAGGCCGATTTATTGTCCTGTGAATGTGTCTTTTTCAGTATCGATACCTGCTCTACTACTACCATTACTAACCCTTTGTAAAACACTGTCACTTCACTTGCAGTTTAATAACAGCGTGGAGTTAACAAGTCCTTTAAAGATTTAACAAAACTCTTGAGAAAATAATCACATGTTTGGACCTAGTGTTTAAAACTGACATTTTAAAAGGCCACCGAAAGAACATTCACACACAAAAAAATCTATAAACCAGCTAATACCTTGATGAACACTAAATTAATGGATTACAATTACGACTTTGGCACGGTGTACTGTTCTTGCATTCATAATTTTAAATCCACAGTGATCACACTCTACTCGCCTGCAGCTTATCCTGCAGGGAGCTGGAGCCGGCCCCAGCTCAAATGGGCTACACCCGAATAATAAGCACCTAATTGGCGACCTGACAGTTTTAAAGACTGATCACTCTCACCTTTAAGCCTATGGGGATTTGGGTCACTAAATTACCAAGAAATTTAAGACTTTTAGGTGTGACTTGACAGCAAAAATGCAAACCCCTCAACCTTGCACAACTGTTAACAAGATGGGTTCACACGATTCTTTAAATTGTGAGATTAATGTAGTTTATCCCTTATAAATAATGATATGGTTTCTTTCAAAAACAGTTAATCCCCCATAGATACACTGACCCTTTTCCACCATCTGAGATCATTGTTGCATAGTTAAATTCTAGAAAGCGAAGTCTGTAGTAGAGCTGGAGGAAATGTTGCAATCAAATCAAAATCAAACTTTGAATGGTTGCAAAACTTAAATTATTTAAAGGGCCCAAATTGAGCAACTGTTTAACACAAAACCCTGCATACACCGTAACTAGAATCATTTGGATGATTTCAGCCCTGGAACTGCCAAAGTCTACTGAACAAAACTGAAAACTACAGCTTCATGACATCACAAGGTGGAACATTTTGAGCTTTGGAGATGCAGACAGACAAATAATGAAGGGTTACTCATACATGTGTGAATGAAACAAAACACAACTTCAGACATGTTCTTGAGAAGGGAAACATTACAATATGGCAATTTTGTAATATAGGACCTTTAAGTAGCAGGAGTTCTGTGTGCAACTACAAAATTTCCTGTTTAACCAATGTATACGACCTGCTAACCTTGTATTTCAGAGCTCTAGAAACATGCTGTGAAATGCATGTGATTCTTGTATTCATTTCAGGCCTGTGCAGATATCTGATTGTTCAATTTGATCAGGACTGACTGGCACATAGTTGGCATAGTTAGTAGCCCCATGCTGTCCAAATTATCCATGCCCTCTCTCCCATCCACCCACCCTCCCCCCCTCTCTCTGCACTCATCCCAATGGTCACCTGACCCCAGCCCAGGGCATGGGAATAGCCGTCCACACATGGGACAGTAGAGAGCGAAAAAGAGAGGGGCAGAGGAATGCAAACAGACATATAAGCTGGCACCGGTATCCAAACCAAAAACAACAAACCAGACATAGCAGAAGCCGGTCTTAAAATGTAGAAAAACAAACATCAATCAATCAATAGGACTAGGGTCATAGCCATTTGTCATGAAGGAAAGACTTTAGCAGACTGAGGAGAGGCTGTAGTCTTCCTCCCACGGTAACAGTAAAAAGTCAGACAGGGATACACATAGCAGCAGGGATGGACTTTGATTTTTGAAAAGTCTTACCTGACGTGTCCCACATATTCAGTTCTATGCGGTGCTTTTCGATCTCAAAACTGGCTGTGTAGTTTTCGAACACAGTGGGAACATAGGTCTGCAACAAAATACACGAATCATTATTTACACTGTGAAAGTTATTGAAGGATCTTAACAAGAGAAGGAAAAAAACACATGGAACCAGTGCTAAATCAAGTCTAATACTGAAACGCAACAGGGCTAAATAAAGTATAAATCAGTAATAAATCTATGACTTAAAGCTGCATTGTGTAACTTCTCTGGTGGGGGGTCTGTTAAATGTTTTTCTCCATGGAATTGTTATCGCTTTGTCTGGAATGTTTCACATTATGGTATTAAACCTTTCTATCGTTATGGAAAGCAAACCTGACCAAGTTACAGCCCAATGACATATCCATAGCAACAAGCAGGTGACAGACCTCCAATCAAAAAGTTACATAGTGCACCTTTAAACAGCTAGACAAATGACATCTATCTATACTTGAAACTATAGCTGTAGTCGACTAAAGAAATTCTTGGTCGACTAAACGCCACAGGTATAAACCAACCAGGACTATGCCTTAAATGCAATTAAAGGTGCATTGTGTAATTTTTCTGGTGGAGGGTGCATCACCTTCTTGTTTCTATGGATATGTCATTGCTCTGCCAGGAACGTTCCACAGTATGACATTAAACAGTACTACCTACAGGTCAAAAATACCTACAAAAACAGGCATTCTGAATGTGAGTGGTGTTGCCTCTCCACAGATCTGACCTGTAGCTTGGTGTGGTTTGATCTCCACATAGATAGAAAGCTTTAATGTCATACTGTGAAACATTCCAGACAAAGCAATAACATCTCCATGGAGACAAGCATTTGATGGATCGTCCACCAGAAAAGTTACACAGTGCACCTTTAAAGCAGATGACACTGCTTATATACTGTGTACTTGTTGAAAATACTAAAAAAAGGGGGATTAAAATAGGAAAAAGTCTAGTCAAATACATAATAATAACACAGGGACCATCAGTGGTACTTGCACCACAGTTTGAGAACCGCTGAGTTAGACTATAAAATTCAGCAGAGAAAATGGTTATTAGAAAATGTCAAATTAAGACGTCTCCCGCTGCATTATGGCCAATGCAAGACTCATAATAAAAGGGTAACAGTCCAATTTCTCCACTCAACTTCTTGTCATGCTGTTTTAACGCAGGTGGATAATTACGCTGGATTTTATATGACAGCCTAGAAAATATATGCTCTCAACTTTGCCAAAATGTGTACTTATATTTAATTGGACAGTTTCCTTACCTCTGGATAACAGTCCTTGGCGAAGACATGAAGGAGCGCAGTTTTCCCACATTGCGTGTCCCCAACCACCACGATCTTACAGCGGCTAACTAAGCTGTCCATGGTTAGCTCGTCCGCGCGTGGTGAGGTTTTTGTATGGTCTTCTTGACACGGGGACCAACTGCACCCAGCATCCGACACGAGACGCGAACCGAGCGGCAATGAAGACACACGGAGATGCATGCGTCGGGCTGAGCAGAAGCGCTTAATGGCCGTGCGTAATAAGTATCCAATTCTCCGGTACGCGCTGGTCCTCCTCCGCTCCACTCAGTCGCTCTGGCTGACTTGACTGGCCCCGTGGCTGAGTGAAGAGGCAAAACACGGTGGGGACTACCTTGATATTGGCCACGCCCCTTCAGTGTGCACGCATGGAACACATCAGTAACAACAGCTTGGCATCTCGCTGGACACGTTTTTGGTGACCTCATGAATTCTGGCGTTAAATACATAAGTTTATAACGCTTTTGGAGAGGAGATTGTATCGTGAAGCACTAATTTCCAATATTATGAGGTAATTAGTCAAAGCTACTGTCTCCAAATGGTGTAGTTTAGGGTAGTTTTGGCAATGTTCCCTCATGTTTTAAAGGTTCACTATGTAACTTTTATGAGGATCTGACCGACACCTCCTTGTTTCCACGGAGATGTTATTGCTGCTTGGCCTGGAGTGTTCCACAGTGCACTGTTTAACTTATCTACCTGTTTACTTCAAAAATAATCCTTGAAAAACACGCATTCTAACTGTGAGAGTGGTCACTTCTCCAGAGATCTCACTTGTAACTTGGCCTGGAGGTGTCACGTGCTTTCTCCATGGCGACAAATAGACTTAATGTCAAACTAAAATTGAAATTCCACGCAAAAATATTTCCGCAGAGACAAGCAGGTGATCAGAAAAGTTACAAAGAGCACCTTTAAGTTGCGTTGAGTTTATTACTTTACAAATACAGCTTTAAACCTGCGCACCTCTCCAAAATGTTACCTTTACGCAGTGCCAACAACTTGACCTTTCCAGAATGCAACGAATTCAAACACCCGCGGGTAAGTTGGTTCCTCTCATTAAGTCGTTAGAGATGGGAACAGGGTCTGTGCTCGAGCTTCATGGGTCTAATTGGCTGCGTTTTCTTGGCTTTACGCAGAGGCGCCCCACAGAGATGGAGGAGCCGGTGGTGATTTTTTGTGAATGAGAAAACGAGATGACGCGAGGAAAGCACGTGCCAAAGCTCTGTCGAGTCATGTTTGCGCCCGCGCCTTAGAAGAGCAACACTGCCTCCTGCTGGTTAAAGTTATATTACACTATCAGCAATTGTACATAATTAGCCTATTAACTATCAAAGTGCTTCAACGCTTGTAAGTGCTATAAAATGTATTCAAAAGACTGGGCATTGTAGCTGTAATAAAGTAAATTAAACCAATTAAACATGTTAACAATTAGCACTTAATTCTAACTAATACACTTTAATTTCTTTACTGGTTATTATGCAAATGTAATACTACTATTGATTAATTCCTTACATAGGTTTAATAACGATTCTTTTTCTACTACAAATTAATTAGCAGGTTAATGGCTGTATAATCAAATAAAGATTTGATCTGAGTTAACTGCCTAACTGACAAGATTCAGACCAACCAGCTGATACGAATGCCCCCATGAGATTTTAGCTGATCATAACCTCATGTTTCACTTTTAAAGGTCTGATATAATGTAAAAGTGACTCACGTGAGCTTTAAGGCATATTATCATGCTGTTACCTCATTAAAAACATACCTGGAGTTGTGTTTAGTTTCATTCACACATGTTTGAGTAACCTTTTATTAGTCAGTCTATCTCCAAACCTCAAAATGCACTGTTCTAACTTGTCATGTCACGCTGGGGTAGTTTTCAAGTTAATAGCTAATTTTTTACTTTTTAGAGAGAGTCAGTTCCAGGGCTGAAAGGGTCTAAATGATTCTAGTGAAGTTGTATGGAGTTTAAAAACACAGTGGAGCATAACGTTACAAGGTGGAACGGAGTGTTTTCAGTTTGAGACAAGAACACATCCTAATAAATACGCAGGGTTTGTGTGTTAAACATGTGTGAATGAAACAAAACAAAACTCCAGGTATGTTTTTGATGAGGAAACAACTTTATAACATAGATCAGAAAATAGTGTAATTTGGGCCATTTAAGATATAAAGTCATGGTGAGGTTAAAGTGAAAATAAAACATGATTTACCAATGTAATTACAGTGAATCTAGTTCATTTAGTTTTTTTTTACTGACAGCCACACTAACTGTGTATACAATAGACTGAAAATAAATACCAAAACTTTATCTGTTTGTCTTCAAAGTGAAATTGCTGCCCCATTGACAGGAGCCAGTGGAGGATGGTCCCAGGACACTCCCTCCTCCAGTCTCAGCCGGACCAGCCAGGCGAGTGAAGACCCCCGGTGCAGAGAGGGGAACCAATTACTGTAATAGATTCAACCGTAACATCCTCCCAACGGGCCCGAGGAGCTGCCTCTGCCCAAGATGAACAAAGCACCTGGGACTGTCACATGGTGTCATTACAACAGGACTACAGCAGATGGCAGTATGCACACACAAAACTGTAAATACTACACAGATGAAACAGTTTGGAGAATTAAGGCCCTAAAGCTAAAAGGTGTTAGCTAGATTATGTAAATAAAACTTGAGTGCTTATTACCTCTCTTTTAAACATAGCATAGGCTACAACATTTAGTCTACAAGTACAAATTTGCATTTATATTTTTATTTCTTTAGCAGCACAACTTGTACCATCATAATTATTAAAGGTGCACTGTGTAACTTTTCTGGTGGGTGATTGGCCACCTCCATGTGTCCATTGAGATGTTATTACTCTGCCTGAAATGTTCCACAGTATAGCTTTATAATTGGTTATTTTTCATTTATCCAATAGCAGGTGTTGTTGCTCAAAAAAAAAAAAAAAAAAAAAAAAAAAAGTTAATTCTATCTCATCTCTCCACAGATCTGGGGCCTCATTTATAAAAAAACTGCGCAGGAGTTGTCGTAAGTTAGTGCGTACGCCTGTAGCTACGACAAGGCGTGCGCCACGCAAACTCCATATTTAGAAAATAGGGGTGTCAAATTATCGCGTTAATTGCGATTAATTAATTACAGTCATATTTAGCGCGTTATGTTTTTTAATCGCGTTAATCTCATTTTTAATCTCTAACTTTAGTGTTTCTGTATGTGAGTTTCTTTATTATAAAACCTGTTTTTATGTGTTGTTGGGACAACAACACACACACACACACACACAAAACACATTTATACATTTTTTTATTTCGGTAATTCCACTCATTGCCGGAAACCCCCACAAAACGCGCGCAGTAAGAGCGATGTAAACGTCATGTTAACGTTGGCGGCGTCAGTCACACAATTGACGAGGTCGAAGAGCCAGTAGAACAGAGGCAGCAGTGCACAGGTAAAAACACATTCGTGTCTTGGAAATTATTCTCCCGACGTGAAATATAAAAGAAAATAACAAATATAATATCGCCTGAAAACAACCTGCATAGACTCATGATGTCTGCACTACTGTCCTATAGTGACCTGCCACATGAGGGGACACGCACACAAACACAAACACACACAAACACACACAAACAAACACACACCTTCATCATCGTCATTAACCTGAGAACGCGCGGACCACGTTTCCTTCCGTAGACACTGCGCGGACACCGCTGTCCTCCCGTGAGCCGCGTGTGGATCGTGTTTTCTCGCGTACGCGGCGTAAAACGCGCTTCCTCCTGTGCGCCTCTAAACCAGAACTAACACCAAGACTAAAACCAGGACTAATCCAGGTCTAAACCAGGACTAAACCAGAACTAAAACCAGAACTAAAACCAGAACTAAAACCAGGTCTAAACCAGGACTAAACCAGGACTAAACCAGGTCTAAACCAGGTCTAAACCAGGACTAAACCAGGACTAAACCAGGACTAACACCAGGACTAAACCAGGTCTAAACCAGGACTAAACCAGAACTAACACCAGGACTAAAACCAGGATTAATCCATTCCAGGACTAAACTAGGACTAAAGTAGGTCTAAACAAGGACTAAAACCAGTGATCTCATATATAAAGCATTTCTCTATCAATAATATTTTTAATATGGTTAAGGAAAGACTGGACTTTTTATTGTCTTTAAGTAGACAAAAGTTATTATGTTCAGATTTCCTCGTCTTTGCTACTTTACAACAAACAGTTTCTTATTCATGGAGACTTGGGCTCAACAGCCAAATTGAAGAGATTTGTTAAACAATAAATGACTTTATAAAGTCACTTTTTTAAAATCTATATTAGTCTTTTGATCTGCCACAATAATGTAATAATGAATTTAAATGAAAATACCTCAAATTGAAGGCTTTTCTCAGCAATTTTTAGGTGAGATTAAAATTAGATTAATTAGATTAATTAATTACAGATCATAATTAATTAATCTCTCAATTTTTTTAATCGCATGACAGCACTATTAGAAAACCCACCGCACCAAACCACGCAATCTTTGCTTTATAGATCCCACCTGCAACTACAATTTGCGCACGTAAACCCACGTCACGTCACGCCCTCTCCACACCTCCACCTCACCATAAAAGGAGCATGTAAAGTGACTCGTGAATGAGATTTCCCTAAACATGAGCCGATAATCAGTGGGTTTGACCGAGACACGCGGGACAGAGGGAGGAGGACGCTCCACGCAGCACCACGTGATCACGACAAAGACTGCATTAAAGACTTTATTAAACAAGGTTTAATAAATAAATACAAAACTAAAAGTGACAACAATGACTCATCTGTTCATTTAATCATATTTTATAATATTTAGGCAGAACATCTTTGCAGTAAAGCCCATGTGTTTTTTCGCTGTTTCAAGAGTTTTATCGCTATATTTTTAAGTCTGTCTATGATGTGTGTGTGGACTGGTCCTGTATATTTATGCATATGCACATAGATACGTGCACGCGCTGATCTGAATGGTCAAATTATGAGCGCGTGCGAGAGATTCAGATGCCCTCCCCTGGAGAGCGAAAGGAGCGAGGGAGGGACACGAGGATACGAGCACGAAAACACATCAGATACAGATGTTATTCTGCCAATTAAAGTCCACACGAAACATTCAAACTGCTCACCTGTGAGTGTGGGTCTGGGTCTGACCTCTGTGAGTGTGGGTCTGGGTCGGGACCGGCACGGGCATTATTCTGTTCTTCATACAGTCAGAGAGCAGCTCTCATGTGCAAGAGTTCCCCATTACACAAAAATGTAGGGAAGAGTTTGGTTGGGGTCAGGTTTGGGCAGTAGGCTTCGTGTCGTGCGCAGACTCGGGTCACTCTGGCGCTCGGTGCGTAAAGACTAAAGTAAAAGTGTTAAAACTGCGTTCATTAAATCAAAGCCTGGTTCCTGCTGCGTCCAAGGGAAGAGTTTTTCTCTCAGGTTGTGGTCATTATTTCGTCCTCTGTGTCGGTCACAGTCTGTGTTCTATAGAAGTCTATGGTCGCGGTGTGGACTGTGGGACTCTGCGCTACACCGAGTCCGGGAACGTGGCCGCGCTCGTGCACGAGTGTCAAATGTATAATATTGTGGAGAATAATGAGTGGAATAAACAGCCCTTCTCCGTATTTTGGCGAACAAAACACTTAAATGCGCAAATCTGAAGGTAATTCTTCTATATACGTGGATTTTCTGATCAAACACTTCCTCAAACTCTGTTCACTTCTGCTTCTCTCCACGAGTGTCGCTTTTTCCCCGTGTCTCCAGACTTTGCGTAGAACTTACAGGAGGTTCCCGAGTTGGCGTAGAGTTAAGCAAAGAGCCACGCCTTAGGCGAGTTTTATAAATACCGCGGTTGGCGTAGGAAGCACGGATTTTTGCGTAAGCAAGATTTATAAATGAGGCCCCTGACCTGTAACTTGACTCAGTCACATTAGCTGCCTGTCTCCATGTAGATAGATAAGTTTAATGCCATTCCAGTCAAAACAATATCAATATCAGATAATGGGAAACAT